ACAATTTTTTTTTTTTTTTACAGTGTCTCACCCTAGAATGCCATGGCCGCAGCTTGGCTCACAGCAATTTCAAACTCCTGGGCTCCAGCAATCCTCCCGTCTCAGCTTCCTGAGTAGCTGGGACTATAGGTACCTGCTACCACTCCCAGCTAATTTTTTTTTTCTATTTTTAGTGGTCAGGGGGTCTCACTTTGCTCTAGTTCAGCTATTCTCAACCTGTGGGTTGTGATCCCTTTGGGGGTCAAATGACCCTTTCACAGGGGTCACCTAAATACATCCTGCATATCAGATATTTACATTACGATTCGTAACAGTAGCAAAATTACAGTTAGCAAGTAGCAACAAAAATAATTTTATGGTTGAGGGTCACCACAACATGAGGAACGTAGGAAAGGGTTGCAGCATTAGGAAGGGTGAGAACCATTGCTCTAGCTTGTCTCAAACTCCTGACCTCAAGTGATCCTTCTACCCCACCCTCCCAGAGTTATAAGATTACAGGCCTGGGCCACTGCACCTGGCCTACAGTTTAATCTCCTTATTGGGATTTAGAAGATACTTTTTCTTACCAGCAGCACATTTATTCATTCATTTTGAATGCAGATTGGAAATCTAGTGTTCATTCCTAAGGTTTCAGTTTTCAAACGGGACATAGCTTATATGGGTCCTGACCGGCTTACCCCATGAAGACAGGGCAGTAGGGTTATCATTTCTGAACCTCTGTGGCCCTAAGTAGCAGCCAGAACATGGAAACTTCCTGATAATATCTAGTATGGTCTTCAGGAAAGTTATTTGGGGAATAGTTCAAATACTACAACTGCTGAAACTATCTGGCAGATAGCATGGACTGTTCCAAAAAGTAGTACATTTCCATTGTTAGAAGTATTCAAAGCTCACAAGACCGTTTTAAGAGATGGTCTAATAGGCGAGGTGCAGTGGCTCATGACTGTAATCCTAGCACTCTGGGAGGCTGAGGCAGGTGGGTTGCTTGAGCTCAGGAGTTTGAAACCAACCTGAGCAAGAGTGAGACCCTGTCTCTAAAAATAGCTAGGCACTTTGGTGGGCACCTGTAGTCCCAGCTACTTGGGAGGCTGAGGCAAGAGATTCACTTTACCCCAAGAGTTTGAGATTGCTGTGAGCTGTGATGCCACAGCACTACCAAGAGCAACAAAGTGAGATTCTGTCTCAAAAAAGAAAAAGAAAGAAAAGAGATGCTCTAATGAAAAAAATAGCAGTGGCTTGGCACCCGTTGCTCAGTGGTTAGGGTACCGGCCACGTACACCAAGGCTAATGTTCGAACCTGTCCTGGACCAGCTAAAGCAAAGATGACAATTGCAACAACAACAAAGAAAAAAAATAGCCAGATGTTGTGGCAGGTGGCTGTAGCCCCGGTTACTTGGGAGGCTGACGCAAGAGAATCACTTAAGCCCAAGAGTTTGAGGTTGCT